ATGTTAGCATAATTGTGTTTCCTTGTATACATATTAAGGTACATCACATTAGACGGACGTCAAAATAATAAAATATCACCACCAAAGAATCTATTCTATTATTTCGTGGAATCAGAAAGAAATACAGACAAGGATGCTGTTGTATTATGGTTAAATGGTGGTCCCGGATGTTCGAGTTTTGACGGGTTTGTTTATGAACACGGTAATTTTTTCATCGTGTTATTACTCCCTCTGTTCCTTATTATTATTATTACGAGTGTGGACGTCATAATTTTATTATGTAATCTAGGAGGTATAATTTTGTATATGAAGATTTTTGCAGGGAATAGTAATGTCATTTTCTGTTCTGAATTTTTATTTTGCAGGACCATTCAATTTTCAGGCTGGTAAAACCAAGAACAGCCTTCCTTTGTTGCATCCCAATCCATATAGTTGGTCCAAGGTACTAAAATATTAACTATACTTACTATGATTTTTATTGATTCAAGGCATGTTCTCGTATAAATGTGATGAAATTAAATACTCATATAGTCGTATATAAATTTATATTTATATCTTCGTTTTTTATTTTTAGGAAAAGGATTATTAGGAGATCCTCCTAACTAGGGATCGAAACACTTAATGCGTAAAAAATAATGGAAAATAAACTAGAGTTATTAACCCTCCTAACTAATTGACGAATATTAGCTATCGTACCTTTATTTAAATTTATGGTTTAATTGCTATATGTCATAATTTTTTTATAGGTAGCAAGCATTATTTATTTGGATTCTCCTACAGGAGTTGGATTGTCTTATTCTGAAAATCAAACCAAGTACCAAACGGGTGACGTACAAACAGCCCGTGATACTCATACTTTTCTCTTAAAGGTAACGTAATTAAAATAAACTTTGCAACTTTTATAAGTACAAAGTACATAATCGACTTGACTGTTTGGAAATAGTTATCACGTTGATGTTTTGACCTTAATACGTTATATGTATGTTTATTTCAGTGGTTTGAGCAATTTCCGGAATTCAGTAAAAATCCTTTTTACGTAGCTGGGGAATCATACGGTGGAATCTATGTTCCAACCCTTGCATCCGAAATAGTAGAAGGTTAATGATGAATAATCATAGTAATTATTTATTTGTTGATTAGTCGTACTTATTTTCATTGATCATCATTAAGAAGTTTATCATTATTCTTACTTGTCAATAAAATCTTTATTCAAATCACTATTTTATCAATTTCTACCGCATATGATTCAGTTTATCTCTTTAATTATTGCAGGGCTTAAAGCTAAAGTTAATCCCACTATCAATTTCAAGGTAATAAAGTTGTCATATCATCATTATGTGACTAACACCACTTCAATTCAAAGTGGTTGATATTAATCTCAATCAAAATTATCACCGAGAATTGGCCTATATAATAAAATTTATAATACATTCCTTTTCTAAATTCAGTTGTCACAATATTAATTCAATTTACAAAATTAACTTAACTAATTTTAATTTTTGTACTACACCAATTCCAAGTGGGTGACATTGATCTCAATCACAAATTCACAATCATGGCCGAGAAGTGCCCTATAATAATTTGCACTATATCATTTGTTCAAATTTAATTGTCACAGTATTAGTTCAACTTACATTATCAACGTAACTATTAATTAGGATTAATTTGAGCTTTAAATGCAGGGATATGCTGTAGGAAACGGTGTAACAGCAGAACAAAAATATGATGGGAATGCTTTGTTGCCATTTGCACATGGGATGGCATTGATATCAGATGATCTTTATAGAGTAAGTCTAATGTACCTAATATTTACAACCCACACGACCACACCCTCATGTACATGCTAGAAAAATTAGGTGCTAAAATTTAATTGCATGTCAAAACTATGTCATTTTAATATGAATAGTTTTGATGTATGATTAAATTTGTTAAGACTTTTAAAGTTGACATGTTATATGAGTAGTTTTGACAATTTGTACTCCCCTAGATCGAACTTGAGTGACTTATTGAAAATGATAGTCAAATTTGGTAGACCATAATCTTTGATAAGCCAAAAGATATAATAATATTAACATGCGAGTATCACTTTTGAATCCGGCATGAAAAGTGCTTCGTGATACATGTAATTTGGTTCAGGTTGGTTTAAGTCGTGTCAAGTTATAAATGTATCGATTTAACTTTTTTAATTTTACTTTAAGGTTTTTTTTGCCGATCAATTTGTTAAATTTAATCAATCATTAGTTAATATAAACTTTGTATTGGATCAATTAAGGTGAGTTCAACTATATCTCTGAAATTATGTAATTTTCTAAATCTTAGTAGTGTATGTAGTTTTCCAAATACAATCTATACTAATCAAATTTGGATATGTATCCAAGTGTCAAACTCGACTATATTATGCTAAAATTTCATTATTTTCACCAAAATATGAAAGGTCGGGGGTGTCCTATCCATTTTCTGGTGTCGATAATGCAAAGCTGTGATAAATCTATAAAGAGGTAGGAAAAGGTTTAAAAGGAGATACACAAATCTAAAAAAGAGAGTATGAAAGAATGGTTGATTGTGCTCAATTGACCCACAAGGGCAGAATTGCTACAAACCCCCAAAAAATTCTTATAGAATTGCTGTCAACTTTCACTTTCGCACTGACCTCAAAAAACTGAATTAGTTTAAGCTTTAATTTGATGACATTGGCCTCAATTGCAGAGAGGTTTAGGCCCACTACCAAGTTGTTAGATAAAAGTCCAAAATTAGTTGATAAGCATGAAATCTTGAAATTGACTTCTCTTTTAGTCGGTACAAAATAAAGATTTTTACAATCTATCAAGAAAAAAAATATAAAGAAAATAGTACTAATATGATGTCAAATGCATTTACTTCATATTGTTCAATTTAACTAACTGCTGAACTGCCTACTGATGATATTGCCTCATCATGCATAGGAATTTGTGTCTTGACATCTATGAGGGATATTTTGGGGATAATCTTAGTGCGGCATTCTAATTAGTATAGACGAAGGATACCCTTTCAAATTAGTTTAAGGGCTTGTAAAAGAAAAGAGAGTTGGACATTTGAAGGGCGTTCCTAGTAACATTTGGTCAAGTCTATATAGTGTCTTTTTTCTTTCACTACAGTAACATCTGATAAGAAAAGAAATGATGCAAAATTCAAACCGTTTGAATAATTAGCCTGTAAAATAATGCAAGTAAAATGGTTTATGTTGTGCATTATTTCAGGAGTTCACAAATAGTTGTGGATTGGACATAGAAAGTGATGGCGTTCCCGAGTGCCAGGGTTATAGAGACAAGTTATATAAGGTATAATTATGTAAAATTAAGTATTTTTCCATACCATATTAATGAATCAATTTGCAAATAAAATCATTACAATTGAAATAATGTTTAACTTGCAGGCTATACAAGGCTTAAATATATATGATATTCTTGAGCCATGCTACCATAACCCGGGAAATGAGAACACTAAGAACTTGAGCTTGCCTAACAGCTTCAAACAACTAGGTGTGACAGACAAACCACATCCTGTAAGGAAAAGAATGTTCGGTCGTGCTTGGCCTTATCAAATGCTTGTCAAAGACGGTCTTGTTCCTTCATGGCCTGAGCTTAACTCCTTACAAACTGATCGTCGAGTTTCTGTTCCTTGCACTGTAAGACCCTTTTCTCTTGTGTTGAACGTCATGTTGTACACATGTGAGTTGTTCTACGAGTACATACTCCGTAATAACCAACTTATAAACTTAATGAGCAACTCTTTGACAGTAGAACTTGTGATAATGTGATGAAAAAAATTACTATGCAGAGTGACGAAGTTGCTGCTGCTTGGCTAAACAATGAATCAGTCAGGAAGGCGATCCATGCAAAATCGGTATGATTGTTAATATGTTGATATAAAATTTCCTTCTTACAAAGTTAATTTCCAATTTATTAGATTACTACTTTTTCTAATTAGTTGACCTTAATAATGAAATTCTATGATGGTGTATAGGTAAATGAGATAGGTTCTTGGTCATTATGCATGTCATTAGTGTTTAATCATGATGCTGGAAGCATGATTAAGTATCACCAAAACCTCACTACCCAAGGCTACAGAGCACTTATATACAGGTAACACCAACTCTTCTATGTAAAATTTTACTTGTACGTGATTAGCAATTTTAATACGGAGTAATTGATTAGAAGATTTCATTTTGATTCGGATTATCAAAGATTGTTAAACTTCGTTTTACTTTTTACAGTGGAGATCATGATTTGTGTGTTCCTTACACTGGCACACAAGCATGGACTAGTTCACTAGGGTATCAAATTTTGGATGAATGGAGGCCTTGGACGTCTAATAATCAAGTAGCAGGGTAAATCTTCATATTTTTCAATATTATCAATCACTCGAAGCTGAATTAATGTATTTTCCCCCAGTAATTTGGGCTTCTTTAGAATTTATGTTCATTTTTGTGTATGATTGTATATCGTTTACAGGTATGTACAAGCATACGAGCACAATCTCACCTTTATCACCATCAAGGTTAGTCGCGATCTACATCTTAATTTACATATCCATATTTCGTTTTTGTGATGAATTGTATTTCTCTTGTCCAAATGGTGCATGGTGCAGGGAGCAGGACACACGGTTCCAGAGTACAAGCCAAGGGAGGCATTAGATTTTTTTAGCCGTTGGTTAGAAGGAAAGTCTATTTGATGGAAACCATCAAAAACTATAGAATTTAAATTTGGGAAAAAAAATATGAAAGATTTTAGAATTTGTGTTTCAATTATATAGCTGCAAAATTTCACTTTGTATAAAAACAAAGATGTATCCTGCAGGTTGTGCCAAAGAATGTTGGTACAGTTCAAATTTCTTACTTGATTGAAAATCATGTGTTACTCTATTACAATGATGAAACTAGAAAAATAAATGTTTAGAAATCAAATTTAAGATGAATATAACGAGAAATCATGTCAATAAGATATACACTTGTAACACAACACTAGTCTAGAAGAAAACTTCTCATAACACGAATTCATCACACAACACGTAGTCGTTTATCGCTTGCTGCAATATGCAACAATCATCACATCAAACCAGGTTGTACAGTATATCAGAAGGGGGAAATTATAATCAACAAATTACAATATTATTTTTTTTTAATGATTTTACAAAATTTAAGGCTAACCGACTACAGCTATAGAGGATTACTTCCCAGGACCCTAATATAACTGGGCAAGTCTATCCTGTTCATATTACAACTTCTGTAGATAGATATAGTAACTGAGTAACTATGAAAAATTACAGGACGACAATAAATGAGCAAAGAGCAAGAGAAGAATAATAAAAAGTTTAAGGCCAAGCTGACCCTCCTGCTCTTACATCGTTCAGGGCCTTCGTCTCGAAGTTTTCTTATCCTACTTTCCCGGGTGTGAACCTCGGCAGGTTCAACAGGGTATTCACCCGGGTAACACCGTCTAAGGCTGAATAGTCATCCAAAAGCATGTCATCCTCTGTAGCAACCTTTTCATCGACCTTGCTAGTTTGCTGATCGACAGTGGTTGGGCCATTGGCATGCTCTTTATCAGCCCCAGCTTGAGATGGTTCTGCTGAAACTGGATGTTCTCTCTCTTTGGAAGCGAAAGCAGAAGATATGTTGTCTGTGTTTGAGTCAAGGAAAAGACAAACCACAGCACAATCATCTGTCTTAGAAGTTGGGTATCTCATTTTCCATCCTCGGACAGCTGTTTCAACCAGAGCTCTAGCAGCAGTGGATCGTGAAGGGGCTCCTGCTACAATGTCAACCACTTCTTTGTTTGAGAGGACATCCCAAATCTGTCAGGAGTTACGATATGATGTATAATTAATAAAAGGTTAGAGAAAAAGGAATAAAAAAGAAAAGTGGTTGGTACTGAACACGAGTCTTACCCCGTCTGTAGCCAAAACAATGAATTCATCCTTATCAGTCAAGCGCCTATATGATATGTCTGGCACCGCTATAAGGCCAAAATCCTTCAGGCAGAAGTCTCCAAATGCTCGTGCCATGGCAAGGCCCGGTGAATCATTGTTTGGCAACCAAACCCGGGCAACATCAGGTTCATCTTGAAGTGCAAAAACACGACCTCTGCACTTCTTAATTCTCTCTGCTTCCGCTGAAATGCAGAAAACCAAATAAATGATAAACAGAAACTTCAGGAAATACTTAAATATCAAAATGCTGTAAGCCTATAGTGAAAGACTTCCACAACCAAAGCCAAAAACTAGGAAACAATAATATTTGGCCGTCTGCAATGTCCAAAACACATACATATCCTAATTAAATGGGAGCCACATCATGGCAGCACCCCCCCCCCCCCCTCTTTTTGTTACTCTTTTGCATTTCCTGTATTGCTTAAGCTGTACAAATAACATAACAAATAGCAGCTATCCTCAAAATCCAAATATCAATTATTTGCAATAACATACATGGTCCTGATTGGTCTGATGATTGGAGGTATTGCAGCTCCTAGACTTCTATCCAGTTCTCTCTTGGCAATTTTTTTTTTAAGCTCAGTAACTATTCCTAATCTAACAGGTCCATCGTTAATAGCACAGCTAATGCACACGAGCAGCTTGCTCCACTAAACATCTTCATCAAAACCATCACTGAAAAAACACAACTATTGTCTTCTAAATGGGAAGCAAATCATCAGTATCAGGGTAGTACAAGTATACAAACATCTAGAGAACTGCTATCAGCTCAGAAAACACTAAGGTGTTTGCCAAAACATTCCAAAAAATTGTGTGTTCTACAACAGCTTAAGACTGCATACTCGTTTCCACAATCAATAACTATATACTAAAAGACACACCAGCGATGACACGTGTCATTTTCAGGTGTCCCAAAAAAAAATAAAAAATAAAAAAATTTAGGAAACAAATCTTATATATAAATAGAAGATTAAAAAGATTTAATGTATTCTTGCACTATATATATTGATACCATAAGCTAAAGTTAAAAAAATGAAAATCAAATACTTAACATAATTTGTGACATACATAGTGCTATATACTCTTACCATTTTCACAACAAGATTTTTTTTTTTTAAAATATTTGTGTATTTAATTATGTTTGAAAAGCTTGCTAGGAAAGATATGAATTTTTTTCTAAGCCAGTTGATTATTGAGAAGAAAATTAAATACCGCGTAAGAGGGAATGGATTAATAGTGTGTAAAAAGTAAATCTATTTACGAATTAGATACATAGTTGTAAGATATTCATTTGGTTAAAAGAAGAAATGATATAAATTAGTTAGTGAAATATATATAAATATACATATATGTGTATTTTAAATTATCTATTTTGCTAATAATAGACTCTTTCATAATTAATTCACTTTACAAAGTAGTAACTTAAATAGACTTTTTTTGTAATTAAATATAGTGTTAATAATTATAGAGTAATTATTGAAAATTACCGTGCATGGCACGGGACCTAACCTAGTTTTATGACAAGTGTCAGTGGTGGATTTTGTTGATCATAAATAATTTGTAGCTAATAAAATTTTTTTATCAAAGGGTGACTATTATAAAACAAATACTTAACTGAAAAAATGGTTTCAAGGGTAGATAACATTAAAAATAAGCATCATCAAAGAGAAAGCAGAAAAATAAATCAGCAAGAATTACTATTCCGGTTTCTGGACCACAAAAAATCACTACCCTATCTCAACAACTGCCTAACTAAATCATCATAGGTAAGAGCCATGTTCACTATGTTGAAGATATTGTAAAATATTTACACTCCGTATGGTTTATTGGAATGAAATCAACTCATCCACATGTGCATTGACACTAAAGTCAACCCATTTCAATAATTCACAGCATTCCCAAGTTGAAAACCCATAGTATTACATCAATAAAGAGAGGGGGAGAGAGATTAAACAAAAGCATACATCCTAGACCTTTACACTATTTAGAAAGTGATAGCATCCATCCAAGAAAACAAAGTTACACAAAAAAGAAACTGTGCAATGTAGCATTAAGCTATTCAAAAAACAATACCAAACTCAAGGTACAAATTAACATTCCTAATGAAACATTAAATTAAAAACTATATTAAAAAGCATCTATCTAGTTAAGACAGTTCACCACTCCACTGGAGAGAACCTCATAGACAAAATACCAGAAACAGAAGAATCTCTAAGGATTAAAGAACATCATAAACAATGCAAATAAAGCATGCATTTTGTTGCTAAGATATACAGAAACAAACAGCAGTGAAAGAGCACATGCTACTGCTTCTTAATTGAGATGCATGCTTTCTTAAATCAAAATTATAGGCATAGCATACAAGAAGGTATTATTTCTTAAAAAAAAAAAATGAGTCAGGAAGGAGAAACAAACCTGGCAGATTTGGTTTGAGATCCACAGTCAACTGCACAGCAACTAGAGTATTGTCAATATCTCTGGTCCCTAGCACCGCTCTCGAGTCACCAACATTTCCGATAACAAGGTCTTGCCCCTAATCATAGTCAATTGCTCACTTAAGCAACTTATTTATATAAAGAATCCTACAAGTGTCAAATCAAATTGTTTGTCCACAAACCTGCTTTATAAATGTCACTGCTGTAGTTCCACTACAAAAGCAATCAACACTTGTGTGTACTCTCAATTCCCGGTCCATGATTCTGAAAGCTTTTAGAAATGATTCTTTCAGGATCTGGTAAATTTCTGGGTCTTTCTCTGTTTCTTCAAGATCAACAGAGACCCTGGAATCTTCATCAGCAGACATAAATGAAGTATCTTCTGAATTCATGCTGCTAGAGTTAAGACTGATCTCTCTGAGAACTTCTTCACTTTTTGCATTCACTTCCCACTGAGCATGTAACTTCTGAGGAAGGGAATCCCTTACTTTCCTAGCAACCATATGACCATATGGTCCATGTCCATCAAAAACCCCACAAAAAATAGTATCATTTCTTGAGCAAAAGTTCTGCAAATAAGGATAATATTAAGTAATTAGCAAAGATAGCTCGTTAACTTTACAGGAACATCATCAATTCTCAAACACATACAGAAGAGCTCTAGGTCCCGAGGGAAAGAGACAATATCTCAAAGGAATCTCCTTTTACATTATGACATAGAAGAAGATGAAATTGAAATACACTTGGAAAGACTGTTTGCAAAGGAGACAGAGACATATGACTATATGAGTATAGAAAAATAGAATGTTGGTTCAGAAATCTAGTCAGAAGTTAATCAATTCAGGATGTCACATCACAGTCAAACTACCAATCATACAAGTCAATTCTACTTAGTATGCAATTAGTCGTCGAGTTTCAGTGGCAAAAATCATTCTCTAAAATGAAATATCATGTATTAGAGTTTCAGTGGCAAACGGATATATCAGATTACCTATATCAAAATGCATGTTGGATAAGGATGAATATAGTTATTTCATATCTATTATTGAGGAAAAACTGGATAAGAATGAAACTAGCTGAGAAAACAAAATTGGATAAGGAATTATAGGATAATACAAAAAAAACCAAATGAATACAAAAAGGAACGCATACTAAACTATAGATAATGATAAAATCATTACTCAAACGCAATATAAAGCTTAAAGGGAGAAGGTGATGTTTCAACCAGAATGATGATAAATTTATTTTAAAAACCCATTTGAACGAGAACAAGGCTTAATAAATTAATTAGTTTTAAAACATTGGAGAGGGCCATAGCAAAGAACTAATAATGCCAGGTGATGAAAGTTAATGAGCAAATTATAAGAAGCCAAACACAAATGGTCATTCCAGATGTCTACAGCTTGGATTTCGAAACAACCAATCATACATTCTTATCCCACTTCTAATTTCATTACTACGTATATAATCTACTTATCCATAAAGGCATAAATTCACTTTCACCCATCAAAATCAATAAATAACAGGAAATCAGAAACACTTGATCAATAGTAATCACAATCAACGTCTCATATCAAATTTTGCAAAACAAAAAGATGCATAAACATAAACAAAATAGGATTAAAAACCTCACCTCCCAAACAATCATAGCATCCTGGTTGGTTCCCTTCTTCCCCTGCTGAGTAAACAAAGAAGCAGCCTCGGTCGAACCATTAAAGAACAACCGGCCCGGGACCTTGTACAGGTACTCATCCTTCCTATGATCAAAGGAATTACCCCGAGACCCGAATCGTTTCTTGGCATTCTTCTTCCTCCTAACCCCTAAACCCGCGGACGGAGAACCGGGGAGAGGGCTCCTGCTTTCCGCAGATAAGCAGGACCCCATTCTCAGGGCCCTGATTATATTTAGTAAGCACTCCAGACCAGCTACACAATCACACCCTCTATATTCAATTGAGGGATCCGTCACTGCTATTGTTACAAAATGACCCTCTATTTTTACTTTCAAATCAAATTCCAAACTATGCAATTCAAATCAAATTCAACCCCAACAAACCAAACTATACAATCAAATCAACCACTATAACTTTAGCATATGCTTTGATTCTTCAAATGCACAATTTACACCCAATGAATTACGAATTTATACTCCCAATTTCCTGAAAATAATAATAACAATTATAACATTAACAATAATCACAGAATCATAAACTTCCACCAAAAGAGAAGAATAATAAAAAAAAAAAAACCTCTTTATTTCTCTTCCTTTATTCCCACAACACAAAAAATTGCATAAAGTAAGAGATCTAAAAAATCACTAAAAATCAATTTCACTTTTTTTTATTTTTCCAATTGAAATGTTAGAGTAAAGCACCTACTTTTTCAGAAGCGCCACCATTCCACCAAATTCTTCACAAAAAAGCGACGAATTTTTCTTCAGCAATTCTTCGAATCAAATTCGAAACCCTAACTTCCGATAATCTCTCTCAACAATTAATCCGACTTAATTAATGATCATGAAACCTTCCAATGAAGCAATTAATTCATCAAACCTCTTTAAACACGGATCAATTAATGTTTAAGAGAGAAATTAACAAAATTAATTGAAATTTCAGCACAAAAATTTCAGAGCTCAGAACTTCCAACGAAATCAAGAAGAGTTCATGGAGCACGAAAAAAGGGAAAACAAAAATGGATAATTCGAAGAAAATAATAAAAATGGTGAAAAAAATTGTTGAAAATTCAATGAAAAATGGAGATTAGAGGAGAGAGAAAATCACAACTACCCAAAAAACAGTGATCAGCAGAGAAGGCAAAATTAGAATATATGGAGAAAGAGAGAAGGAAAAAGGAGGAAGAAGAAAGGAGGTTTCTCTCTCTAGAAATATTTTTTTTTTGCTATCTCTCTATTTTCACCACCATGAAAAATGTATTTATATACTATAACATTTTTAAAAAATATATATTTATTTATCCAAAACTTATTGAAAAATAAATAATTTTTTTAGGTAATAAGAGTGTATTTGGATGGATAATGATGAGTTTAATCAAATTGATAAAATTAATGAATAGTTTTGTGGGTTTTTTTTTTATTATATATACTCCGTAGACAAATAATAAAAAGGTTAGTAACTGGTATTTTTTTTTTTTTTTAATTAATGAGGGTTCAAAAGAGGGGTAACGGGCAGAACCTGAAAGACTGAAAATAAACGTGTATTTCGAATTGTAAGGTTTGTATTGTGTGAATAAGTTGAAAATTTGTAACAACATGATAAATTTTTACCGAGTATGAAAAGTGGTTTCAGTACGATTTATTTCAGATTTTAAGGTTTGTAACATTCTACTTTGAAGTATGACGTGTAAATTTAGTTGTCTAATCTAAATATGAAGTAGCTTTGCATTTTTTTTTTCCTCAAAGATACATGTTACACTTGTTTTTCCAACGACTTTTATACATACGAATTATGTAACTGATGTAAGAAGATAGTCTACTAAAAAATGTGAAGATTCAACGGTAGTATTTGTTACAATTTTGATTAATTAATGATATGTAAATAATATCAAGTATGATTGTTAAGCAATGCCAATTTGGTACATTGAGAGTAACATATAATTCCATTTGATAATGTACCGGAATTTATATCAATTTACTAAGTTATGTCAAGTTTGATTATAAAAAAAAAAAATTACGACAACTGATAATTTTAACTATTTAAATCCGACACTCCATTTATTTTCCCTTAAGATATACATCTCTCTACATTTGAACCAAGGAAAATGACAAGATGAATAGAGAAAATGAAACTATTAGAGGGTCCACAAGTACATGATAAATTATTATAAATCTGCCTAGTGTAACCATGATTAATTTAGTAACACCATCAACAATTAGCTAAGCTAAGATGTGCTAATGTAATTGACATATTGAATAATATATCATGCATTTTATACAATATACAACAATTAGCTAGTCTTGTCTTATTTATACCATAAAATCTTACTAGATATTTACTTCCTTTTAGGTTGAGTTGGTGGATTAGTGGTATCGCTATCCACCTTATATCCCCGAAAGTCCATTGGTAGTTTGCAAGTATTAACATGTATGAATATCTATAATTCATAACTTCATTTTGTATACCAATCAAGTAATGCTTGACTTACTTGCTTGGTAAAATAATTACCTAAATCTTTAGATGTCTATGATCCGAATCCTATCAAATGAAGGTGCTTGAAGGAGTTAGTGAATTTCCTTCTTTACCCCTGGCTCGTAAAATCTGGACCAAAAAAATCGTGACGATTAGGTAAAGGTTGTATGATACAACAATATAAAAGGGAGCATGAATAATACAAGTACAAGATTCTTTTATTCAATGCAATGTTAGATCTTTCAAATTAATGGTTTTATTAAGAGATTAATTTTAGCATAAATAATTTACAAGTAGTAGAAATGTTATCATCGGAAAGTAAGATAACTTTTTACTTTATTTTGAAATATAATACTAGTCGTTTTTCAAAATTAAAAAAAAATAAAAAAATATATAATATTAGTCCTTTTTTTTTTTTTTGAGGAAATAGTCCAATTTTTTATTGAGTTGTCGAGTAATTAATAATAGTATAATAAAAATTGGATGAAATGTCATCTACACGTCATAAATGTCTTCCATTCATATGATATTTTTTGTTATATAAAATTGGACCACGAACTTTTATATTTGAACCATAATACGTCTACTAGTCTAGTAGTCTACTACCATTATTGGGAAAATATGCCTTTTTAATTTTTTTCACTTTTATAGTAGATGAAACTACAAGTATGAAAATATAGTTTATAAAGTGTACTTTTTCTAGTTTCTCCGATCCCCACCGACCAATCTTCCAAAAAAAAAAAAAAAAAAATTATATAATTGTCATCGTATGCATGCAAAAACCTAAACATTACCATCCATATAATTTTAAAGCTTATGAGAATTTCTTCTTACCTTTTTAATTGTTTATTTCTTTAAAAAAAAAAACTCCGTATAAAATAATAGTTTTAAAGCTTGACAAAATTTCCCGAAATTAATTAATTTGTTTAGGGGAGTACATATTATATAATTTAAAGGTGACGTTAAGAACTTTCTAGAATAAGTATAGTCTTCATTCCTAATAGCTACTACCATTGAATTGATGCATGCATGCACATTTGCGTTAGATTCTACTTGGTGTAATGGTTATTCAGTGGGGGGAAGAAAAAAGAAACATGGAATAATATGTTATTGGTAACACACATATTCTTCTTTTATAAAAGACCACATATATTTTTCAGATATATTTCGTTTGGCAACACTCACTTAAAAGGACTTGAACTTGAAACTAATACGTTAATCAAAATAATATAAATGTAATGGCTAAGACATATAGTTGATCAAACAAACTAATTTATTTAAATTGTTTTTTGCTAATAATACTGTATAATAAATTGTTTAGGGAGCTAAAATGAATGTGGCTTGCTGGCTGCTGCAACTTTGCAAGCTATAATTTCAGAAATTAAGATAGTACAGTATATATTTTCTTAAATGAATGAGAGTTATGAGACTATGATTTCAGAAATTAATGGGCACACGTTTAGTCAATGGACTATGGTTTAATTTCACTCCTTCAGTATAACATTAATGGTATTCTTACTATCTATTTGTTTGGCTAGCTTCCAGTTGTAAATTAAAATTGAAAGAGGTAAATAGGTTAACTATGTTTAGCATATTGGTGGTTGTACGAAATTTACAAGCGTGTTGGTATTTGAATTTATTTTTAAAGCATGCATTTACACAAGAGGATATTCTTTTTTATTTAGTTGTGAATTGAATTTGATAATCATATTAACCCTTATAAAAACTAATCAGTTCGATCTTATACTTCTCTAATATTTTGTATAAATGGATCGAAAATAAGGTGAACATATCAGGTTCTATATGCTACTTGCACTCTTAATCAAACAACAACCAAGCTTTAATAACGCCAATTATCATGATTTCTACCACAAATTGCTAAAGCAAATTGAAGTTATTGTTATGAAAATATGTGACAATGCATGCCCTTTCATGCAGTGGGTTAAGTCATTGATCAAAACATTCATGATACAACCTTCATTTTCTTATGCTCTTGCACATTAGCAAGTAAACAAATTATTATCATCGACACACTTTTAATTATTATGAAATAGTACTATATATGTCTATTTGAAAAAATAAAGTTTATCATGGGATTCATTATATTCCAAGCGATTCACTTGGTTTACTAGAGATTCTATTAAGCATGATTTAGATGGTTGGACTTGACCCAAGACCACTTGGGTCAATCAGGAGGTTGAAAAATTAATTCGGATCCCAACAATCTCTGAAGCTATTAATTATGCGTAGACTTTGTTTATAATTATGGATTTATATTATGGGTCAATATATGTCATATAGTGATTGAATAATTATATAGGGATTTCAGTTGTGTATATTAATTGCTAATTACGGAGTATGCTTTAACAATAGGGCAAAAGATATACAGATGCCACTTGGGAATAAATCTGGATCTTTCCTTTTTGATGAATAATAAATAAAACATTGCTAATTCAATGTGGGGTTACATAAACATGTGGATGCGTTGTGGAGTAATAACAGTAATAAATATAACTCCATTTATAAGAAGCTTAATTAAACTTGTATTTTGTAATGAACATTGATATTTGCGTGTAATTTTGTAATGAAATTTTAAAAATAGTCATTTAATTTTATCGTATGTATTTAATTTAATGGTTATATGTAATTAACCCCGACTCCAAACAAATTAGGGAGGGGTCTATTGTCACGAAATGTGCATCAAGAGCCAACAATTGTCCTCACATACCAATATAAGTCATTCCGACACATTTTGTCCTCATTCATGCGCACCTAGACTTCATGAGTCTTTTGATCTCAAAGTGATCTTTGAAATTTGATCAATAAATAATATTTAACATCTATATATATAATTGGCTTGTTGTACTTTTTCTAGTTATTCAACCTAGACTTCATGGCTTATGACTTTGAAGGAGAGAGAGATTATAAATTAAATAATTACAGTAAATTTCATTTTTTTTTTTTAAACCTTTAGATAATCTTACCACGTTAAAATCGTGTTTACTTTATATATTCTTTCATTATAATAATTACCAATTTCACCATCATCATTTTTATTCAATTGAAAAGGTTAGGTATTTGTACAAATAATCATAACGTCCTCTGTTTACAAATTCGATGCATGCATATAGTTAATTTATATCAATTTTATAGCTATCATAACATATGTAATTTACGTACATCAAAATGTAATTTTCAATTACCTATTTATTACATTATAGTACGTTGATCATTTAGAGTTTCAACATTATTTAATTAACATTCTAAAGGTGTGTTGTATTGTACATGTCAAAATTTATAATAAATATTTTTAATTATATATCTATTAAGTAGATAATATAAGAAGTTGCAATGATGAAAGTAAGGTTTAAGCTACACTATAGTACGTAAATAGTGTAAAAATAAAGTTGTATTAATTTTGAAACGAATGAAGTGTAAAGTATAATACATTGAGAAATTACAAAAAGGTTTCTTATAGCAATTTAGAAATTAGAATCATTTTATTTACAAGGCAAAGCTTGACCCACTTAGCCTGACTAGAGTCTTTTCTTTAAAGGAAAAATTGTGGGGAATAATCCCACCTTTTGAGTATCCGCGATAAAAAATCCCACATTTGGGATTTTGTTTATTAATCCAACCTTTATAACCAATCCGCTCAAAATGGTCCTGGGTGACCAGTAACCGGTTGAAGAGGTAATTTTTTTTATTAAGTTTATTTTACACGTGTCACAATTTGATTTGTCCAAAGTAAAAAAAATTAAGTATTTA